ATGGCACACTGGGCATGTCTGAGTCAGCTGCTGTTTGTTATCTCCATGTTACGGACAGTGTCAGCGTCAGCCGCCCACGTCAGGGGAAGACAGAACAGTCCCAAGTCAGTAGTGACATCAAGTTATTCCGTCCGGCAGTTGGCCTCGCTGAACTTCACCAGCAACATCAAGAAATACATCGACCATGAGCAGTTCAGGCTTCGCGTTATCAAGAAGTGAGTACAGGGTTTGACTTGGGTTGGATGCAAGAAACTCTTATTCTTGTTGCTGTTGTTGTTGGTGGTGGTGGTGGTGGTGTTGCTGCTGTTGTTGTTGTTGTGTCTTGAAATTATAAATTTATCATTTTTAAGTCTGATGAGTAGTCGGCGTGTATGGCTTAGACGTTGTGAAAGCACCTCGTAATTCTAAAGAGTCCGGTTCGATCCCAGCAGCGAGCATTTGGCAGCGTAAATTTTTATAGTGTAGTTGAGAGCCGACAATTCATTCAGCAATGGCAAACTACTGAACGTAAAATAGCAAGCAGCGAAAATATGATGGGATTGGTTCTGAAACGGCCTGTAAAGTAAACTTATGACATAACTCAGCAAGTTTCTTTCCTATTTAAGAAAACCACAAGACCAAGAACGAGAATAAAGAGCCGCTTCTGTCGACACAGATGTCCGTGGTTCAAATCGACAGCTAGTTAGATTGTAAAAATTGATTTCGACTGTCGGATCGATCCAACCTATATAGTGTACCAGGAAATATCCTTGGAAGTAAAGAGGGCCGGCGTGAATTGAGGCTATCGCCTACAGAGGTAATATAGTTCTATAAATAAACGTGCGATGCATCGTTTACCCGTTGATGCCCTGGAGTGCAGCCTTATACTACTTTACCTTTTTTACTAATAATAGATTAAAAAGTAAACAAAGAAAAGAATGACAGACAGACAGACAAACAGACAGACAGACAGACAGACAGAGGGACAGACAGACAGACAGACAGACAGAAAACCGAAAGATAAAATGACACGGCCTTAAATATGTACCAGGTAGAGTCATGGGAGGTAAAGGGGGCCGGCGTGATGTTCATCTACAGAGTGCCCATTTGTCACTCAAATCTCTAGCCCTACGTGCCCACAATGACTCTTTTGCCTCTACACATCTTCTAGGCAGATGTGTAGGCTTGAGAGTAGGGTCGGGGGAGGCGTTAAGGGACTTGAGCGCCCCCTACTTCCCCCCACCATTTCAGGGCCCGTAATTTATATTACTTGATTTAAACGAAGCAGATGGAAGACGAAAAAGTAAATATATTGATGATTTGACAACATGGCTGGTCATATTTCGACGATTGAACACATCGGGGTCATATTTAGTGATTAAAAACATGGGTGGTCATATTTTGATGATTTCACCACATGGCTTGTCTTATTTTGATGAATGAACACCTGGGTGGTTATATTTTTATGAGTGTACACAAAGATGGCCATATTTTGATGACTGAACACGTGGCTAACCATATTTTGATGACTAAACACATGGCTGGCCATATTTTGATGACTGAACACATGGCTGGCCATATTTTGATGACTGAACACATGGCTGGCCATATTTTGATGACTGAACACATGGCTGGTCATATTTTGATGACTGAACACATGGCTGACCATATTTTGATGACTGAACACATGGCTGGTCATATTTTAATAATTGAACATATGGCTAGGCATATTTTGATGATTTGACAACATCGAATTGTTGGATGAGAACACAGACCTTCAAGCGAATCTAGTGACTATGTAAGATAACAACCCTGTCTGCCTACGTTAACAACCCTGTCTGCCTACGTTAACAACCCTGTCTGCCTACGTTAACAACCCTGTCTGCCTACGTTAACAACCCTGTCTGCCTACGTTAACAACCGTGTCTGCCTACGTTAACAACCCTGTCTGCCTACGTTAACAACCCTGTCTGCCTACGTTAACAACCCTGTCTGCCTACGTTAACAACCCTGTCTGCCTACGTTAACAACCCTGTCTGCCTACGTTAACAACCCTGTCTGCCTACGTTAACAACCCTGTCTGCCTACGTTAACAACCGTGTCTGCCTACGTTAACAACCCTGTCTGCCTACGTTAACAACCCTGTCTGCCTACGTTAACAACCCTGTCTGCCTACGTTAACAACCGTGTCTGCCTACGTTAACAACCGTGTCTGCCTACGTTAACAACCCTGTCTGCCTACGTTAACAACCGTGTCTGCCTACGTAAACAACCGTGTCTGCCTACGTTAACAACCCTGTCTGCCTACGTTCGCCACATGATGTTGATGATTTTGTTTTGTTTTAAAATTGAAATTTTTTTTTTTTAAAGCCAATACTTTCTGGAACACGACACAGTGTTCGACCTGGCGAAAATGCATCATCATGACGTGCTTGCCAGGTGGCATAGGCGTTCAAGTATCTCCACATATCTCGGCTGTTGGTGTTCTGGATCAATTCTATTGATGATGTTCTTCGAAGCCACTGTCTTAGGCCATCCACCATCACTTCTCTCGGTCTGCCTCTGCCTCGTCTACCAGTGAAATTTGACAAAAAAATTTCATAGGGTATGAAAGCACATAGGGCTGGAGAACTGGATAGAGAAAGAGAGACTTTCAGGTGTGCCTTGACAAAAGCGACTCTCTAAAGAACTCGCACAGATTGGCAATGGAAATCAGTTTTAAAAGAACTGATGGAAAGCTGAGATATCGTTATTCACGTTTCTCCTTCTTGTCCTCCCGTGTTAGTCTCAAGAATTGCTATTTATGATAAACATGGCAATTAATACGATGATGTACAGCATCCATTCTTTTGTCGCTCTTCCAGACTCTTCGACCCTCCAACTTTCCCACTGTCGCGACGTACTTCAGTGTTTGCCTTTTTCACAAGGCGGATTCTTTATGAACTACCATTGATCAGTGCTTTATGGGATCCATACACACACCCGCTAAACAACTAAAATACACAAGAAAAATCAATGTAGTGTTTGTAAATATCGATATCCTGAAAAGAAATGAGATCAAGTGTCAACACATTAGCAGATGTTGCTGTAAGTACAAATGTCGATGTAGCGAATCAATGAAGACTTCTGTGTTTCTGTTTCAGTTTTACAGGATACGAAAATGAGGTCCCATTGGTAAAGAAAAGACTGGCAGAACTAAAAATGTAAGTACAATACCTTGTGACTGCCATGTTTCTTTTTGTTCCGTTTAAGGGTTCCCAGTGCAGCACATGCATTCTTGTCACGCTCAACCCCCCCCCCCCCAACCTCCCCAACCTCTCCCCTCCCACCCACGCCGACAAGCTTTCTAGTCTTGTTTTGTGTTTATATTAAAAGCAAATTAGCACAAATTCGTTTGAGGCCAACATTCGGTTAACATGAACAAAAGTTTGGCTGACAGACGGACTGACTTCCAACGCCACCAGGACCGTACGAAGAGCGATGAACACCAGGTGACACAAAGTGTCATCACTCGGATGAGATTCCGCCAGTTGTGAGTTCCAGAAACCCCGTGCTGGACCCTGCCTGGATGGCCACAATGTTAGGCTGTAACGTTGATTCTTGTGAATAAACGTGGAACTAAAGCTAACCCTCGTCGACTGACATTTGGAGACGTGTGGAAGTTTAAAGGAAGAGAAGTCTGCCTCGTCTGACGTGTGTTCCTGACACGTAGACAACAGCCCGTGTTGACTGTGTACGAACGAGAGCTAGTACAAGAAAGAGGTACATTACAGTTTATCAATGGTCAGTACCAGTGTTTCTGTAGCTTTCGCATATGTAGCCAACACAGTCCGCTCTTTCGTTGCCTCGCACTCCCGCATATCCATATCTACGCCAGTCCCTGTAATTTTTACATGGTGCTTAATATCCTCTCTTGCCACATTGTTACGTAAAATAGTTTATTGCTTCAATATTTCGCATAATGACATTGCGATAATAAATGCCATTAATACGCCCTTATGATCGGCAGAATATCGATACATGCTTTGAACATTTACATTTCACAATTACTTATAAAGTGCGTAAGACGAGAATGTACAAAATCTACTGTAATTTTATGTTAGGTAAATTAACAATTGGTATATATTTTTTGTTAACATTAAATGACAAGAAGATTGACTTGACAGCCTCCAGACCTCACAAAATGCTATTTTTGTTGTTGTTGTTTGTTTTTGGTAACATTTGACTGATGTCAGATCTGAGCACAATGAACGAACCTTTTTTCAGTCAAGAACGGACCTAATAGTGTGTCAACCATTATCATCATGTAGCAGGTCTATTGCAGAACGTCGCTCTTTTCACGGTCTGCGTGAAAGAAACTAGACAGCTCTGCCGCCACGGACACTTTGATATCCAAGGAATCACTTATATCCTGTACCCATCTTCCTGGTACCATGCTTTCTGCTACTAGTTTTTCCAATCTGCCGTGGTGCTTGATATGGCCAAAATATTTGAGCTTGTACCAATCATAAACAAGTTATTTGCATATTACATATTATTTGCAGAACTAATCCCAACTGTGCAAATTTTAGGTTTAGTAGTTTTCATACTTGTCTTATTTCAGAATTCATAAAAGTTTACTCAAGAACGCAACAGCCAATAGCACATTATACAAAAGTCTGCTAGAGAACCATCCGACCTCCATTCAGGCCGCAGTGAGAAATTTTCTGGCAGTATGGGAGGACAAACTGACCAACACAACCTTGTACGGTGCACGTGAGTACCACTTATTATGAAATTGTTTTCAAGAGTCTCAGAATACCAAGGACAAAGAAATACTGATATTTTAAAAGATCTGAACATCAAAGGTTTGCTAATAAACAATGTATTGTCTCGAAAGCTGAAACATTTTGGTCATATCAAGCGACATGACGGATTGGAAAAACACAATATCAGAAGAAATGGTACCAGGAAAGAGGGGCAGGGACTGACCAACATAAAAAAAGGCAGGATGTTGGTGACTCCTTGAATATGAATATACACGTAGCGTGTGAGCTGGCAAGAGACCGAGTTTCTGTTGGTCAGACCCTGATGAGGGCAACGTTCTGCAAAGAATCTGCCACATGATGATGACGATGATGATGAGGTGTTGTTAAGATGGCTGCCTCCCCCAAGTGGCTTATTGTTTTTTTTTTTTTTTTTAGGTATCATGATGGAAAATACATCCACTGCCACTCTAATACGTTTGTTGTAAAAATGCGGGTAAATAGAGTTGAATAAATATGGTGTTTTTGGACCGAACAGTGTAGATATCGCAGCGTAACTGCAAACTAGAACACAAACTGCCATCCAGTCTTTTAAAAGCTAATTCTGGAGAAGTTGCTTTATGGGTCACGTGTCTTCAACGTGTGTTCCAGTCGATACGATACATTTCCCTGAAATGTATAAACGGTCAAAGGGAAAAGTAACAGACAATTTTCACGCCAAAATAACCTCATCTCCCAGGCCTACCAGGCTTTGACGGGGTACTAGGTGCAGTCCTGGGAAGTAAAGGCGGCCGGTGTAATGCTGACTTCATCACCTAACGAATGCTGATTGGTCTATGATATATAGGTCCTGCCCTATATGCCCAATAACCTGAAGGGGTGGACAAGAGTCTCTACTTCGCTTTACTTACTACTATGTGATTGCTCAGATATTTTTTTTTATTTCTTCATCACTCTGAATTTTCAGCGTTTTATATTCAACATGTTCTCACAGTCATGACTCCAGAGGCATATTGATTTGTTTCATAGCCCAGGAACGAATAATCAATTTTTTTTATTTTTCAATTTTTATTTTTTTTTTTTTTAAATTTGTGAATCTATCAATAACTGTTAAATTTAATGGGCTTTAACTCATCCAGGGGACTTAACATCCAATTTATTTAGATTTTCAGAGTTATGGCCCTCGAAATTCGCAATTTTATTTTCTGCCTAGTAATTATTTCCTTCTGGTCACACATGTCAGAGATTCCACTGTATATGTGATTCCTTTCTGAGACACTTTAGCTAAGTCATGCTACGTATTATTTTTCGTGTTTTTGGTAATCTATATTATTGTAATATGCTGATGCAGGCCGAGGTTTTCGTTTGTGTCTGTGATCGAGTGATGCGGACTGGTTCTAATTGTCGTTTGTGTCTGTGATCGAGTGAAGCTGATTGGTTCTAATTGTGGTTTGTGTCTGTGATCGAGTGAAACTGATTGGTTCTAATTGTCGTTTGTGTCTGTGATCGAGTGAAGCTGACTGGTTCTAATTGTCGTTTGTGTCTGTGATGGAGTGAAACTGATTGGTTGTAATTGTCGTTTGTGTCTGTGATCGAGTGAAGCTGACTGGTTCTAATTGTCGTTTGTGTCTGTGATCGAGTGAAGCTGACTGGTTCTAATTCTCGTTTGTGTCTGTGATGGAGTGAAGCTGACTGGTTCTTATTGTCGTTTGTGTCTGTAACTGAGTGAAGCTGATTGGTTCTAATTGTGGTTTGTGTCTGTAATTGAGTGAAGCTGACTGGTTTTAATTGTCGTTTGTGTCTGTGATGGAGTGAAGCTGACTGGTTATAATTGTCGTTTGTGTCTGTGATCGAGTGATGCTGACTGGTTCTATTTGTCGTTTGTGTTTGTGATCGAGTGGAGCTGACTGTTTCTAATTGCCGTTTGTGTCTGTGATCGAGTGGAGCTGACTGGTTCTATTTGTCGTTTGTGTCTGTGATCGAGTAAAGCTGACTGGTTCGAATTGTCGTTTGTGTTTGAAATCATTTCAGGTCTTCGAGAGTTTCTGGAGGAGAACATCACGATTCCTCTGCCTACTCGAGCTGATCTGCACATCATTGCCAAGGCGTTGATTATTCTGCAAACTGCCTACAATCTGACAGTCAGTGACCTTATCAAGGGTCGAGTGTTGGGGAAGAAAGGTGAACCTCTAAGCCAGGCGGATTGCTATGATACAGGTAACATGAAGTTAGTTTGCATCACATATTATAGCCACATTTGCAGCCATAGCAACCACAAGCATTGTCAACCTTGGTATTGTTATATGGTGCTGTTTCATTTATGCTGACTTTGGGTGCCAGAACCCGAAAGTCCTAATGTCAAACGCAGTTTTTTCTTATCTCTAAGCCCCACCCTGGCTGTTGCCGGGGGCCCTAATGTAACCCAACCTATGGGTTAAACGGTGTTTCTAGAACCTGTCTCATCCGCATGGTGGCACTTCGTGTCGCCAGTTGTTTGTGGCTCAGTCTGATGTCCTGATGGTTTTGAACGTCAATCACTCAAGCCAGAACCTGTAAGCTTTTACAGTATGCTTGTTGAATTAAAGTTGGCTGCTTTTTCTCTTTCAACACAATAAGGCTTTGTAATCCGGACAATGACTGAATTTATTTTTAATATAAACATTTAATAACACAGTAACTGTGTTTTATCTAACCTCACCAGCACCGCACAACTAGCGACCAACACCAGGTGACACAAAGTGCCTACATTCGGATGAGAATCACAAATAATTGCGTC